CACCCCGCAACCCCGCCCCCGGCCCGCCTGGGCCCCACCCCGCTCCCGCCACCCTCTCCGCCGGCGTCCGCACCCTCGTTAACTACGCCCCCACCCCCGCTCCGGGCTCTTGGCAGTAGTGACTTTTCTGCAGAACGCTGCTACTGGAGGCCTCGAGTCCACAGGGAGCGGACTGGAGGGAGTGCCTCTTCTTTGTGCCCTGTAAGTGGGCAGCTGTCCGAGGGACCGGAGGTACCTACCTAGAGGTGGATGGGCTGTGAGAGTGGCCCCTCTTGTCTGTCTTCTGTCTGCAGCCTGGCACCTCCTGTGATCCGTGTACCAGTGGCTTGCAAAGGCCAAGGCTGCCTTCGGGAATCGCAAAAAACCAGAAGGGTGACTCAAAGCCACGATTCGAGCTAGTGGGAAAACCCGCGGGTTTGCTAATTGCCCCTCGTGGAATTCTTGTCTTTTTAGAGCTGGACCCCAGTAATACTCTTGGTGGGCCCGCAGAAGACCTGGAATCAGCCTCCTTATTTTACCTGTCGGTAAGCGGGATGAGGAAATCGCCAATCATGTCTTCCCATTTTACCTTCCAAAACTGGAAACTTGTGACTTTGTGTCTTCTGGTGATTGGGATAGTTTGGGGTGTCTTGGCGCTGTCCAGCAGATTTTATCCCGCGGCCTCTGTCCTTGGTGGGAAGTACAAGCAGGAATGGGCATAGTTATTTACCTTACCAGGAGGGTCCCTGGGTGACACAGTTTGCGACTGTCTACTAAATTAAAGGTTCGAACCCACTCGGTGGCACCGTGGAAGAAAGACCTGACTATCTGCTTTCCTAAAGCCCACGGCTAAGAAAACCCTGTGAAGCAGTTCTACTTTGTAACACATGGGGTCACCATGAGTAGGAATTAACTTGAAGGTAATGGGTTTAGTTGTTTAGTTTGGTTTCCGAGGAAGGAGCTGCCCAGCATATTAGAGCCCAGCCAAAAAAACCATTGCCGTGGAGTCTATTCTGATTCATAGCGACCCTATAGGACAGAGTAGAACTGCCCCACAGGGTTTCCAAGGAGTGGCTGGTGGATTCAAACTGCCAGCTTTTTGGTTAGCAGCCAAACGCTTAACGATTGCACCACCGGGGCTCCTGTTAGGGCCCCAAAACCCAAAGCAAACCCACTGCTGATTTCAACTCAGTGACCCTATAGGACAGAGAAGAACTGTCCCATAGGGTTTCCAAGGGAGCGGCTGGTGGATTTGAGCTGCTGACCCTTTGGTTAGCAGCAGAACTCTTAACCACGGTGCCAACAGGGCCCCTGTTAGGGCCCACGACCCTGCAAAAGAGCCTGGAAGTACTTTATCTGTTCTACTTGTCTCTGGCATCAAGGAGGATGCTGATAACATTTTGCAACCCTGCACACTCTTCTAGTACACGTTGTCAATTGCTCTGCAGAACTTTCCCATAGATAGGTTGCTTTCTCTGCAGTTGAGGGCACTGGTCACATACAAGCAGAGAAATTTGGAGGAAAAAAAAAAACTATGAAGACACCATAAGAAATGATAAAATTAACACTGTTGGGAGTCTAGGCATGATTTCTTTAGGAACTGTCGGTTAAGCATTGGATTGCACTCCCCTGTATCTTCTTTCTCTTAAGCCGTTGTTTTCTTCCCTTCAGCATTTTCATAAGTAGCAAAAATCCAGCTTTCTCTTTACCTTCAAGATTGAAATGGTAAGAGGGTGGTATGGGCAGAGGAAGACATAAGAAAAAAGAATTCCTTTCCATCGGATTCAAAGGAAACTCCATATTCACAAGAGTCCTTCAAGGCATAAAATAAAATACAAAATAGAAATTATGTTCTTTCTCCTAATAAAGGTCTTTATAATTAAAGTCAAATGAAGTTTTGTGGTTTATATCATCAGCTTTCAAAATTCAGTTGTAGATGTTAAAATGTGCCTATGTGTATTTCCTTCCACAATAAATATTTTAAAAGGCTTTTAGGTTTAAACTAAAGATTTAAAAGCTTAAATTTCTGTCATTCATCCAACATTTATTACCAACATATTACCTTATTTCAAAAATTGATTTTTAAAAATTCTCTTAGAATCCATAATTATCCATTGCCATTGAGTCAGTTCTGACTCATAGTGGCCCTATAGGACAGAGTAGAACTGCCCCAAAGGGTTTCCAAGGAGTGGCTGGTTGGTGGAGTCAGACTGCCAACCTTTTGGTTTGCAGCTGTAGCTCTTAACCACTGTGCCACCAGGACTCCAGAATACATAACTGGTTTCTATATAATGACCCTGGGAATATCAGAAGCATGATATAAAATGGTTCAGGGCTGGAGCTGTATCATTTATCAACATCTCGAAACTTAGGGGAAGGCATGATGTGTCCCTTTTGCTCTGCATACCTGCCGCTTTCCTCTACCTTGAGAGAAAGCATAAGTGCATGGCACCTGTACAGCCCTCTACTTAATCAAGGGCCTGGTTTCTTCCATGTGGAGTCAAAGTGGTATGTTTGTGCATGGTATGGTATGATGGGTTAGACTAAACTATCAGCTCCACTCACACATAAAGAGTAGGCAATGAAGGTTATGTCAGTGTAATCTGAAAAAATGCTCTTTTTGTAATGCTCCACCTTAGGCCCATCATACATTGAATGGATATATGTCTACCAAGATAAAGTTGGGGAAAATTGAGTAGCTAAACCTCCAGGTAAATCTTATTTGGAAAATAAAATAGTAGAGAGGCATTGTACTACTTTTCAATTTCTAGAACGTGTGACAATATTCTGGCTAAATTCAGTCATCTATTTATTTGTCCATTCATTCATTCATTTGTACATTAGTCAACAAAGACATATTGAGCAGTACAAAACACTATGTTATATACCGTATATAGGTTTGAAATATAAAAACAAATTAATTATAAACTCTCCCTGCTTTAGATAAGTTTATAGTCTTCTAGAGCAGTAGTTTCTAATGATTCTTGGAAGTGGAGTTACCATAGCAGCTTGAAAAAATACTCATGCCTGGACCCTACCCCCGTTATTGTTAGTTACCCTGGAGTAGGTTCCAACTCAAAGCGACCTTATGTATATCAGAACGAAACATTACCCGCCCTGTGCCATCTTCACGATCTCCAACGTACTCAAGTCCATTGTTGGCAGCTATTGTGTCAATCCATCTCATTGAGAGTTTCCCTCTTTTTAGCTGGCCCTCTGCCAAACTTGATGTCCTTTTCTAGCAAGTGGTCTTTCCTGATAACGTGTCCCAAGTAAGCAAGATGAAGTCTCACCATCCTCACTTCTAGGGAGCATTCTGGCTGTCTTCCTCCAAGACTGATCCTACCCCAGATATTCTGATGTAATTCATCTAGGATGGGGCCCGGGGCACCAGAATTTTTAAATCTCCCAGTGGTTTCAATTTGCAGGAAAGATTGAGAATGATTGGTCTAGAAGGAAAGATAAGACGGACACAAAGGGAATGTGTAAACCCCAAAATTTTAGTGAACAGGCAGGAGTGTTATTTTTTCTTGGTTCTTGCAAGGGGACATTGAGGATCACCATCCCAGGACCCCATCATCTGCGCTACCCTTTTTGCGACTGACTTTGGCTATTTACAATTGATTTTGGCCAGTTACTCTAAGTAAACATGCATGAATTAATGTACAGGTCTAGATTACAATTTATTCATCTGAACTAGGAACTTTCTAATGACCAGAAAACTTATGTCCACGAACAAAACATCATACTTAATAGTAATTGATGTCATAATATCAATTGTTTTTGTTAGCTGACTTCAGGTTGGCCTCTGATTAACGACCATCCCATGTACAATGGAATTCGGACTGCTGTGATCCATAGAGTTTTCATTGCCTGATTTTCAGAAGTAGATCACCAGGCCTTTCTTCCTAGTCTGTCTTAGTCTAGAAGCTTTGCTGAAACCTGTTTAGTATCATAGCAACACACAAGCCTCCACTGACAGATGAGTGGGACTGCCCATGAGGTGCATTGGCTGAGAATCGAACCACAGTCTCCTGCATGGAAGGCAATAATTCTACCGCTAAACCACCAATGCCCTCAATAATATCACTAGCTACCATTAAAGAAAGGCCTACTGTGTCCTAGACCTGGTCATTATTTCTTTACATTTAATTTCACTGTCTCATTTAATTTCACAAATTATTTTGGAAGATCTAACCAGTAATTACAAACCACACTCAATATTTGCTTTTGTTGCTTCACCATTACCCATCTTCACTTTAATTATGGTTTCATGAAGCATTTTGTTTTCAAATTTGCAGCTATTTTCACTGACCACATTTTATGTTTACTGATTCTTCATAGT